GCCCGCGCGCGGGAGCCCAGCGTCACCGGGGAAGGGCGTCCGCCTCTGCGCGTGCGCCCCGGAACGCGGGCGGGAGGGGGGCGGGCGCACCCGGGGCCGCCCAATGGGAGAGGAGACGGAAGTGGGGCCAGGACAAGATGGCCGCGGGCGCCCCTCCCCCACGGGCTCCCCCTCCCCCACGGCCCGGGCCCCTCAGGCGCTCGAGCCCCCGACCCCCCGGGTTCCTCGGACCCCGATTCGCAGTGGCTGCTTCCGGGCGAGGGCCTGGCCCCAAGGCGCGGGCGGCGGTGCGGGCCCCTGGGCGCTGCTGGGGTGACTGCTCCGGGGCCACCCAGGTCTGCGGTTTGGGGAGCCGCCAGGCCGCCTGCGCCCTCGCTTCACGGCCGCACCGCAGGGGTGGAGGTGCCTCGGGTCGGGCCCGCCCAGGCCGGGTCCGGGTGGGGACCCCGCACCCCGCCGCCCGCCCCACCTCCGCCGGGAGCGCACTCGGCGCTGGGCCCGCCCTCCGCCCAGGCCCGGGGTGGACGGGCCTCCGAGCGAGGCGGCCGCTCCCGCGTTGGCGGCTCCCGCACCGGCCGCCCCGGGCGCTGGGTCACGGCCTCCGGGCGGCGGCCCGGTCTCCTCTCTGCCTCGGGCCGAGCGCGGCCGCACCGCGGAGGCGCGGACACCCCGCCCCCGGTTCAGTGCGCGCGGTGCTCTGAGCAGACGCCGCTCCCGCTCGGTCAGTCCCCGAGGCCCGTGTTCCCTGGGGTTAGGGGGCCCGGGGGAGGGGAGCCGCCACAGGCAGCCCGGGCCGCGGCCTCGGGGCTCGGTGGCTCCGGGGTGGGGGGGCTGTGCGGCTCCTCCGCCTCCTGGGGCCTGAGGCTGCCCCCCTCCCCCGGCTCGTTCAGCACCGGCTCCGCTCGCCCCCCTCCCAGCCCCGGCGCTGACCCCGCCCTGCCTGCGGCCCAGCCGCCCAGCCGGTGGGTGGACTGGGCCCGACCCGCGGTCGGATGTGCCGCCGATCGCGGCGCTCCGCGAGGTCAGGCCGTGGGCCGAGTCCTGGTGAAACGGAACGATCGAGTTTACAGCTAAAGTTCGGGTGTGATGAGCGGCCGGCCCCTACAGTGAAGCGGCGGGGGCGGCGCGGGGCTCGGGGGGAGCACCCGCCCTCCAGGCCTGGCCCCTGCCGAGCGCGGCCCGGGGCTGCGCCGTCGCCCCATTCCATGCCGCGGAGCCCCGGTTCACCGGGGTCCGGTGCTTGCTCTCCTGTGGGTGCGTCACCTGCACTTGCTTAGCAAACACTGTTATTCTGATAAAGTCCCTAAGGGGGGTCTAGCGTGGACCCGCCATCGCGGGGTGTCTCCAGGACTGCCCAGCGCCGCGCCTTGGGGGAGACACGTGGTTGGTGTATTTGTGACCGAAGTCAACAAAGAGCAGATGTATTCAGTCCGAGTTCTGTCCTTCCGTTGGCAGAAAGCTAATAAGCCAATTCCCCGGGCAGGTTATATGAGCTTCAGCCTCTCCTACCTCATCCCCTTTACTTACTTATGTTTTCACTGCAGACACAGATCCGTCTGTAATAAATACTTGTTTTTTGATCACAGTCCCGATTACAAGGCAACTGAGAAGTTAAGATGGAAGTATAAACGGCTTAACAGAAATGAGGCAAAATGAGTGTGTTTTTGCACCAGCAATTCTGAAACTGTTTTTATACAGTCTAATAACAAAGGCATCAACTTCATTGTTTTTCAGTTTTAAGTTCAGTTTATATATTTTATTGAAATGGTTATTCTCTAAACATTCACATCATTCTGTCTGTATCTTCCGGACATTTCTTTCTTCCAACGTTTAGTGATTGTATCCTGTGTTTGTTTGTTTCGTATTCAAGCATCAAACTTATCTGACTTGCAAAATTAATGGAATGTGGTTTGAAAACAGTAACGGTTCAAACTTTATCTTAAGCCTGGAGCCTGTCATATCTGAACTCAAAAGCTTGACTCAAAGAGGAAGGTCGCCACCATTACTAAGACCTCATCACCTTCTTTCTCAGAATCTCCAAGCCCTAGAATTTCTCAGATTTTAGGTAGTTATCAGTTTTGTGACTTGTTTTGTAGATTTCCAGTGTGAGTTGATTTCCAAAAGAATCTGGATTATTCAACTGGTATTTTAATCTTCTGATAACTACATGTTTAAATAACCTAAACGCCTTTTCACGCAAAGGGGACTAAATCCTACTTTCCAAGGCGTGGCCCTAGGCCAGGGGTGGGCAAACTTTCTGACTCGAGGGCCACAATGGTTCTTAAACTGGACCGGAGGGCCGGAACAAAAGCATGGATGGAGTGTTTGTGTGAACTAATATAAATTCAAAGTAAACATCATTACATAAAAGGGTACGGTCTTTTTTTTTTTTTAGTTTTATTCATTTCAAACTGGCCAGATCCGGCCCGCGGGCCGTAGTTTGCCCACGGCTGCCGTAGGTTCAAGGTAGGAAGTAATGATCAGAGCAGAATTGCTAGGGATGCAGTGTCCTGGGCCCTTGTGTGGCTCAGGTTCTCCGGGACAGAGAATTCTCAACATGACCCAGCAGAAATGACAAGCTGCTGGGCACCACTACAAGAAGAATGAGAAAGTAAAGTGAGGGACTTTTTATCTTACAATGAGGCCGTGTTAGTACAAGAAACATTCCAAATTTGCTAGCCCTTTGAAGTTAAACTAACATTACATTCTTCTTTTTTTTTTTAAATATATTTTATTGATTTTTTACAGAGAAGCAAGGAGAGGGATAGAGAGTTAGAAACATCGATGAGAGAGAAATATCGATATGCTGCCTCCTGCACACCCCCTACTGGGGATGTGCCTGCAACCAAGGTACATGCCCTTGGCGGGAATCGAACCTGGGACCCTTCAGTCCGTAGGCCGACGCTCTATCCACTGAGCCAAACCGGTTTTGGCTAACATTACATTCTTTATACTACTTCCTCAATGTCTCTTATTTCTCAACTTTAAAGAGTAAGAAAACACAGATGAGAACTTTCACCCAAGGTAAGCCCCTATTTTTGTGTGTGTTAATCCTCATATGAGGACATTTTTTTCTGTTGATTTTTAGAGAGAGTAGGAGGGCAGGATGGGGAGAGAGAAATGTCGATGTGTCACATTGGTGGCCATGCCTGGGGCTGGTGATCAAACCTGAGACCCTTTGGTGTGCAGGCCAATGCTCTAACCACTGACAAACCCCCTTTTTTAATTAATTAATTAATTTATTTATTTATTTATTTTTCAATCCTTACCAGAGGATATTTTTCCATTGATGTTTAGAGAATGGAAAGGAAGGAGGAGGGGGAGAGAAACATCCATGTGAGAGACATTGATTGGGTGCCTCCTGCATGCCGCTCCAACCAGGGTTGGGGATTGAACTTTTGTTACTGAGGCATGTGCCCTTGACCAGGAACTGAACCCTCGACCCTTAGATCCATGGGCTGATGCTCTGAGTGACTGGCCAAGGCCAAACCTCTATTTCTTTTTTTTTTTTTAATATATTTTTATTGATTTCAGGAAGGAAGGGAGAGGGGGAGAGAGATAGAAGCATCAATGATGAGAGAGAATCACTGATCGGCTGCCTCCTGCACACCCCACAATGGGGATCAGGCCCACAACCTGGGCCTGTGCCCTGACCGGGAATTGAACCGTGACCTCCTGGCTCATAGGTCAATGCTCAACCACTGAGCCATGCCGGCTGGGCTAAACCCCTATTTCTTTAAAGGGCTTTAGAAGAAATGCATTTGCACAATGTGAAGACACTGTTGTAAGAATTAAACGTAGAAATGAAAAACCAGAGAAATGGGGCCCAGTTCCAGAGCAGCCTTCTCCCTTTCAGTATCTGACTTAGAAGCAATGCTTCACCACCATCTTCAGCGTTGCTTTTTCTTTTCTATAGCCTCTGCTGCCCTTTCAACAATAAATCTTTTGCTTTGATCTGTTGACATTTGCACTAGGGTCCTCGAAGGGCTATTTCAGGTTTCGAATTCTTGCATAGGATGAATTTGAGTAGGATAGTCAAAACTATTAAAAGGGCAAGTTATTTTACTGGAGGCTGCTGTTTGGTTTTGTTGTTTGTTTTTAATTTTTCAGACCTTTCTTCTCCCATGGATCAGCTCTTCTGAGAGCTATCCTGGTGATCCATTTTTGCTTATTCTTGCCAAGATGCCAACTGAGTGTTAACAGGCATTAACCCCACCTCTCCTGCTGCTCACTAGAGAGCCTTACCATCTCTTCCTCAAATTGACTCCATTTCCTTGTAGCCCAGAGCTAGACTTACAGACTCAGCTGGTAAAACACTGAACTTCGCTCTGTCCCAACTTCTCAGGCAGGAATGACTTTGACATACCTGCAGTGCCAGTAGGAAACGATGGCAATCCCTGATCTTTCTGATAACCTAAGGCCTAGAATCGTCAGAAGTCCCAGGTTCACATCTTAAGAGGAAACAAATAGAGAAGGCTCTGACTTTGGTGCAGTGCTGAACTTCCTTATGCCATTCTGTGGCATCAGAAAAAGTGACCTAATCTCCCTGTCTAACCCAGTCAGTCTGGAAATGCTGGTTTTGTGTGTTCTCAGAAAGACTATAATGGTACATCATGGTCTTTCAGCATCTCTAAGAGGTCTCTTTCCCTGTAAGACTTCTTTCTAAGGACCTTGTGAAATGACACAGTGAATGCTTTCTTGCTCTAGAGCGATCCAGCAGGGCAGTATGGAGACATCTGATTTGAGGGAAAACCCACAATTGTTCAGCATACAGTTCTGATATTTGTCAGTGACCCTCTGAACAGCAAGATGAAAGGTTTCTCATAGTCCCTTGTCACACATTTTGGACTCTTTTTTTAGTGCTCTAATGGTCCAATGCGAGTAGAAGAAAATTAGTGCTGGATAGAGTAGGAGAAACTCAATTCATCTCCATCTCCCATTATTTCAGTTCCTCTTGAAATTCATATCCAAACCTTATGGTAAATGAGATCAAGACAGAATAGAAGAGACATTTCCTGTTTGGAGTTTCTCAGAAGCGGCAATCCCAGTCCCTGGTGCAGAAAGGTGTAGTATAAGGCTGTGGGTTCTGCTTGACTCTGGATAATCACATAATTCAGTAGGTTTGCAGAAAGGCAGAAAAAATGTATGAACAACACCTCACTTCTTGACAATCGTGAACTGAAGTACTGATACAAAACATCTCAGGCGAGAAGTTTCGCATGGGTTCCCTCCCCCTTTCTCAGCCTTTCTCACCACAGTCTGGTCCACAGATGCCCGGATCTAGACCCGCTCCCCCCACTCCTGTCCGAAGCCTTGCCGGACGCGGTCAGCTGACACCCCTCCCCTTGTTCGGTGTCATTTACGGAGAATGCGCACTGAACCTGCTCCATGCCGCCTCCCCGCTAGAGTGACCTCTCCTCTGAATCGAGGGGCCTGTGTGGCTGGTGGCTGAGCTAGTGACTAGAAAAGTCCTAAGATCCTGACTCCCGGGAAAGCCTGGGCGTCAGAGTCCCGGGGATTTAGACAGTTTGGAGGGGCCGGCTCCGGCTGGGGATCCTGCTGGCCGTGCTCTCTGCTTTGGCCAGGGGAGCAGGGTGCACTCTCTTCGGTTCACAGCCTCTGGCCTCTGGCCCCACTAGTCTGTAGGTGCGGGGGGCCAGCCCCGGCGGGGGCGGGGGCGCGGCCTCCGGGGACAGTGTCCGCTGGCTGCGGGGGGCGCTGTTGGCGGTGGAGCGCGTGCAGGAGGAACCGGAGCGCGAGCTCTGAGAGCCAGAAGACGACGAGCCAGGCTTCACCAGGCGGGCTTTCGGGGCCTCGGCGTCCTCTCTGAAGAGAAAACACAGCAGAGGGGAGATGTAACACTGGAAAGACTGGGATCTTTCCCCTGCGGTTCTTCCTTGTCAAGTTTCTCAATAAAGTCCTCACGCTGCAGACCTCAGGTAACACCCCCGAAGGCAGCCACGTAGGGAACAGGGACTGCCCGCTTTCTGAGGCTCAAAGCGTGGCTTAGGCACATGCACCTCCCTTGGTAGCTCAGAGATGAGCTCTCGCTCTGGGAGAAGATGCTCTGGCCATTGACATGGTCTAGAAGACTACGCGCCCCTTGAGCTGGGGCTTGCCTATGGAAACCCTTTGTGGCCCGTGGGTGTGCCCGCTCTAAGCGGAAGGGATCAGAAGTGATGGGGAGTTGATCGCTTGCATCTCTGGAGGAGAGACAGTTTCCCTAAAGTCAAGGCAAGCCAGACCTTCTGTCCGAGGCTGGCCCTCCTTGCCTACCAGAACAACCCTCACACAGACGCCTGGGTGAGAGAAAATGGCCACTGCGTTGCTGGTCGCTGTGGAACTGGCCCCAGGAAGGAGGCCCGTGGGAGAGGAGATGTGGGAGGGACTCACCGGATTTCATTAGGTCTCTCTTCTTCCTCGTATCTCTTTTTGTCTTTCCTTCGGACTAGCAGCCACACCAAGAGGAGGATCAACAGGACCCCGGCCACCATGCCTGTCACTGCTCCCGCCACCATGCCGATGCTCTGCACATCTGTTTTCTCAGAAACAAAAGTGGAAACGAAATGAAACAAACTAGGAGATGCATGAACTTAAAAGACCTAAGCCCTGGACAGGATGCGTATGCCCAGAGCGTTATCTTCCTGAGTCCCCACTTACCCCGGTGTCTGACTCCCCCGCTTGATGTTGAAGGGCAGTAGGATATGCCACCCCAAAATATGCCTCTCCAACTTTAAGATTATTTTAAGCTGATCATTTCTGAGAAACTGCAGACACAGGAAAAGCTCTAAAAACGGAAGTTACCCTTTTGTAAGGGAAGTTTATAAAGGAAATCTCCACTTGGTCCCCACCCAGATATAATACATTTCTTTAGAAAGCTGACACATGATTGTAAAGAAAGAGCTCACACAACTGCCGAATGGTCCTTGCAACTACTGGGCTGATTTGGGTGACAGCCATGTTCTCCTGGAAATAACGGTTACTCTTACTCATGATCAAACCTGTTCCACATGTGGACATGTTTGAAGCACAGTGCGGGGAAGCAGCACCTGCGGATACCTACACTGCACCGTGACTCGCACCACGCAGCTCTCCTTCCCGGCCTCGTTGCCCGCTGTGCACTGGTAGAGTCCCGAGGAGGCCGCCGTGACGTTCTGCAGCAGCACGCGGCCCGGGTTGCTGTGGTCTACGCAAGCAGAAAGGACGCGATTCCCTCAGTGCAGGCTCTGCATTTCGTGTTGATTTTATTACATCATCTACCCAAGATTCCCTAGTCCCGTTTGGGAAGGATGACATAGATGATAGAATAGATCCCATTTGGGGACATGGGAAGAAAGGTGAACATTCTTTTAAATGATAGCAAATCCTCAAAAGTTACAAAGGGCTGTGAACATTTAAGGGAGACTAACCAAGATAGATAGAGTGGATTTATTTGGTACATTTCTTTCTAATGTTTTTTACACTTTATAATCCATTTGAGAACAGAAAAGACAGTCCCAGTTTATGGGTGAAAATGGAAGGTCAGAGATGCAGGGGTGTAGTTGAGGTTGCATGGTGATTGCTGTCCAGTTTGGAATTCACGGACAGTTCCGTCCTGTTGTCTCAATAGACCGGCGGGAAGATGACTTACCGATCCTGGATTTGGGAGGCAGACGCTCCTCCTCCCCCTCCTTCTCCCGGACTCGCTGCCAGTGATACACGATGGGCTCAGTGCCAGAGGACGACGCGCACTGCAAGGCCAGGTCCCTGCCTTCTCTCGGCTCCCCTTCCAGCTCACACTTGGGCTTTGATGGTCTCACTGGCCAAAAAGAAAGAGGAAAAAAAGTACTGATTCAAAGATCCCCAAACAGTAGACTCAATGGAAGAACTATATCCTGTTGAGTTTCCCCGGCCATCCTGATGGTTCACTTGGAGTGGGGATTCAAAGCCGTTACCTAGCTTCCTAGCCCTGTGTTACATCACCTCCAGAAATACACTGCTCTGTCCCTTGTACACTCACACCTACTCCAGCTGCTTCCAATGGTGGAATTTTCAGAGGCAGCCTCAAAAACTACATCATTCTCATAGAAGAAACATATTTAATTGGAAATTTTAGGAAAGCTGAGTATGGTTTTACTAATATTGAGACAAGGATAGGAGTTCATTAATTTGGCAGATATTACGTAGTACTTACCTTCTGCTGTTAAAAACAAACAAACAAATGAATTTAAATCATCGGAGAGATTTAAGTTAAATATAAGGATATCATTCAAATATTAGAGGATATTTAATTTTTTTAAGGGCTACCATAGAAAGTTGTGATTATTTTTTCTTCTTTCATTACCGTTAAAATACAGAACATACTTCTTCCCAGCGAACTGGAGTAGGTGAATCTGAATGTAGACTCCAAAGTACCGAACATCTCATTAGGTGAACACACAACACAATACACAGGTGATGTATTATTGTATAGAATTGTACACCTGGAACCCATATATTTTATTAACCAATGTCACCCCAATAAGTTCAATCTAAAAAAGAGTGCTGAACAGGACGTTGTAGTACCACGATGGCTGTGGCTGTCCCTTGCCCAGGTAGGCGCTTAGCTGGCACTCTACCTTACCTAGGACTTTTAAGACGACGTGGCTCCACACGTAGTGGCCCGAATTCTTCACCTTGCACGTGTACAGGCCCTCATCTCGGGGCTTCAGAGACTCGATCTGCAGGGAAGCATCTCCTGCCAGGAAATTGGAAGCAAAGGCCACTCGGCCCTTCTGTTCCTCAGTCAGGTTATCGTAGACATGATGGCCGGAGTAAGTGATGACCTGCGGGACAGACCGAGGCGTGTCAGGCAGGGGCTCAGCCTTCCTCCCTGCTGAAGGCAAGGTGAGGATGGGAACACTCCCAATGGAACAAAGCAGTCAAGCCTGGGGCTGGCTCTAAGGACCCAAGAGACCTCTGTTCTAAAGAAAGTTCAAAATACAGTGTTTGTCTAGGCCTTGCTTTTCCTTTTAAGAAGAATAACACCTCATATTTGTGTAGCATTTTAATTATAAAGTCGTAATGATTAAATGCTGAGAACCACTCCATTTTATAGGGAAGAAATTTTAAATCTGAGTTAATCATTACAGCCTCATCAAGGAAAGAAGGAAATGCACAGTGAGTACACATAATGGCATTAGAATCGAATCTGAGAATTGCAAGAACAGGATAAGGAAGGGGAGCAAGACTTACTTTCCCCCTTTTGAACTTTTTGCAGACACCCCTTTTATTTTTTGATTGATTTTATTTATTTTTTAAAATATATTTTTATTGATTGTTAAAGAGAAAGGGAGAGGGATAGATAGAAACATAGGTGAAAGAGAAACATCATTGATCGGCTGCCTCCTACACTCCTCCCCCACTAGGGGTTGAGCCTACCACCCAGACGTGTGCCCTGATGGGGGATTTGAACTGGTGACCTCTTGGTTCATGGGTCAGTGCTCAACCACTGAGCCATACCGGCCAGGCTATTGATTGATTTTAGAGAGAGGAAGGGAGAGAGAAACATTCACGTGAGAGAGAGAAACATCAATCACCTGCTTCCTGCACACACCCTGACTGGGGATGGAACCCCAAACCTGGGTGCATACCCCCCTTTTGTTGTTGTTGTTGTTGTTAATCCTCACCTGAGGAGATTTTTCCCATTGCTTTTCAGAGAGCAGAAGGGGATGGTGGTGTAGAGAAAGAAACATCTGACCCGTGATGGGGAGCGAACCTGCAACCCAGGTACATGCCCTTGTCCGGGAAACAAATCTGGGACCCTTTAGTGCGTGGGCTGATGCTCTAACAATTTAGTTACACTGGCCAGGGCATCACCCCCACTTTTAAAGGGAACTTTCCTCCTTTTTAAAAAAATATATTTAAAATTTTTTATTTATGTATTTTGAGAGAGAGAAAGAAAGCAACATCGATTAGTTGTTCCAGTCATTTATGCATTCATTGGTTGATTCTTGTGTGAGCCCTGACGGGGGACCCAACCCACAACCTTGACATATCAGGACTATGATCTAACCAACTGAGCTATCTGGCCAGGACTTGCATACCCTTTACTCAAAGTACACTACACTCCTTGTGCGTGCCAGGTGCCTTTACAGCTAGTTTAAAAATACTTTTTAATTGGTTTCAGAGAGGAAGGGAGAGGGAGAGAGAGAAACATCAATGATGAGAGAGAATCACTGATCAGCTGCCTCCTGCACGCCCCACACTGGGGATGGAGCCCGAAACCCAGGCACGTGCCCTGACCGGGAGTCGAACCTTCACTTCCTGATTCACAAGTGGACACTCAACCACTGAACAACCGCCTGGGCTACATCTAGTTTATTTCTCACCCAATTTTTCCCAGTAATCATTGTCCCCATTTCACAGACAGGTGCAGAGCCTGGTGTGAACACATCTCTCTAAAGCCGTCTGTACAGTCTGTGGCACTTTATAATGGAAGCCCTGGTGAACTAATACAGGGCAAAATGAATTTCTGTTCAATGCAACTTCATCACTTTAGAGGACTGCATTTTACTTTATTTTTTATTTTTTGCATTTTACTTTAATAATTAAAAATTTAACAATCCAAAAATAAATAAATAAATAAAGCCATCTAGCCTGGCTGGTTTGCTCAGTGGTTAGAGTGTCAGCCTTTGGACTGAAGGGTCCTGAGTTCGGTTCTGGTCAAGGACACATACCTTTGTTGCAGGTTCCATCCCTGGCCCTGGTCAGGGCACGTAGGGGAGGCAACCAATCCATGTGTCTCTCACATCTGCATATGTCCCTCTCACATCAATGTTTCTCTTTCTGCCTCCCTCCCCGGTTCCACTTTCTCTCTAAAAAAAAAACAATGGAAAAAATAGCTGTGAAGATTAACAAAAATAAATAAATAAAGCCATCTAGCTCATTGTTCTGGTATACCAGTTACCTCTCCCCTTCCTTTCCCACATGTATTCGTTTCACTACTCATTAACGGCTCTTTCAGAAAGCTTGGAAATGAAGGAGGAAAAGTAAAACAACAAAAAAATCAATTTGTTTCATTTTTACAAAAGTTTAGAGTCCAGTTGAAGCGGTTAGAGAGGTAAGGAGTAGAAGTTAATGGTTAAAATTCAGGTCTGTATTGAACGTGAACTATAACCGACCCAAAAAAATCAGGGAGTAATGGTGATGGAAGCAGACTTGACTTTGGGTGTTGAACACACAAAACAATGTATAGATGATGTATTCTACAATTGTATACTTAAAACTTATAATAACCTTAGTAACCAATGTCACCCCAATAAGTTCAATAAAATTTAAAACAAAATTCAGACCTGACTGCGGCTTCACTGTCTGGCTTTGTTTTATCCCACGGGGATTAGTAAACTAGGCGGGGAGATGGTGTCCTTTCCTTCCACGAAGGAAAACCCCTATTCTGTAAAACTACTGTTTGGAATTCTCTGCTATTCTTTGGACGGCCTCTTATTCTGGAAAAAATAACTTTGCTTTCTAGCCTGCTTGAATAATGGGGGCGATAAACTTAGCCGCCTGGCCTTGTAGGCCAGAGGCTAGATACACCCAATGCCATGCCAGGTGCATTTTTTAATTGATAGAACTGTGTAGTTTTCAAGGCCGCCGCCAGCAAGCACACAAAGGGCTGGCTCTTCCATAAAAAGGGAAGTTCTGCTTGTAGCTTTGCTTAGAACTTGGATTAATTTCCCTGAGCCCGCCGCGGTGAATAAAGTAACTCCAAACTCTCAGAGCGCTGTTTGGTTCTTGTCTGGTTTTTCTGTCACAGCACAAGCCTCAGCCACGGCATTGTTTTCCCAGGCGGGGAAACCAGCGTTAGATTTCCCCAAAGAAAAAATGATCTTGATTTTTACTGAATCGTCGCCCGGCCTCATCACCACCTTTGCTCCTGAACCCTTTCCTGTTCTCTGGGTCCTGTCCCTCAGGAGCACCACGCGGACCCCCCACCCGGACTTCAGACGCTGCCCTCCTGCCCTCCAGCCTGAGCAGCCCAGTCTCAGACCCGTCATTCCATCTCAGACACTTAGGGAAGGAGCGTCCCATCCGGCCCCGAAGAGGCTGTTCCGCGAACCCTCTCCCTGCCTCTGGGTGGTTTCTGAGCCGCAGGAGTCAGGAGGGACGCGCAAACAGAAGAAATGAGTAACTGGAACTGTCAGAGGGACTGTCCCAGGAGAGCGGCGGCATCCGGTCCGGCTCTGGGATGGTGGCTGAGAGGCGGGGAGGACGGGTGGAGGGGTCCAGAGGCACAGAAGGCGCCACCAAAGGGCGCATTTCTGGCTGCAGATGTTTCATTTAGTTTCTTTTTCCCCCTCCCCCTCCCCTAACCCCTCCCCTCCTCCTCCTCCTCCTCTCTAGCTGCTAGTCTTTCATTTTCCACTCGGGGCAAGGCACGCGGTTACCGGGTGTCAGGAAGCTTTGCGGGTCTTTCTCAACTTCCTCTCTGGTGTTTGCAGTTTTGAATCCAGTGAAAGAACCCACTGCTTCCGCGTGTGCAGGCCGCTGGGGTGGGAGGGGGGAGGGGAGGGAGAGGGGGAGGGGCAGGGGAAGGAACAGGGGAAGGGGTGGTGTGGAGGGGAGAGGGGTGGCGGGGCGGGGGAGGGGGTGGAGGGTCGGGGAGGGGAGGCTGGAGGTGCAGGGGAGGGTCAGGAGGAGGAGCAGAGGGTGGGAGAGGGGAGGGGCTGGTGAGGAGGGGGGAGGGGAGGGGCCAGGGAGGGCTCACCGGAGTCCGAGTCCCTGTCTGGGGCTGGTGTGGCCCCTGGGGAAAGCCGGGCGTTGGTATTGGGGGTGGCCGCGGGCTGCTCCCCGGGCCGGTCCCAGGTGACCTGCTGTTGGAGGCCGGGGCGTGGTCAGGGGGACCCCGCGTGCTCTGGGGACTCCAACACACTAGCCAGGAACGCGAGTGACCCCGGGCGGGCCTCGGGGAGCCGGGGTGGGGTGGGGGCGGCCCCCCCAGGGCACCCGCACTTCCTCAGGCGCGGTCACTGGAAGTGGGACCCGGGGGCAGGGGTGGGGGCCGCGGGCTGTGTGTGGGGCGGGGAGGGGAAGGGGGAGGGCTGCCGAGCGCAGACCCCGCGGCGCCCCCGCGCGGTCACGGGTGGCGAGACCGGGCGCGGGGCCAAAAGCCCGTTTCCAGGGGAGACCGCGTGGGGCTGGGGAGGGGGCTGCCTTTCTTTGTGTTTTTTTTTTTGGTTTGTTTTTTGGCTGCAGCTGTCTGACATTGTCTCACTTCTCCTAGAGCCCGTGACCCTCATCACGTGGTCCCAGCACTCAGGGCCTGGCTGTCCGAAGCTGCAGCCACCCAGCACTGACCCACCCAGCACTGACCCACCCAGCCCTGACCCCCACCCAGCCCTGACCCCCCCCAGCCCTGACCCCCACCCAGCCCTGACCCCCACCCAGCACTGACCCACCCAGCCCTGACCCCCACCCAGCACTAACCCACCCAGCCCTGACCCCCACCCCGCACTAACCCACCCAGCCCTGACCCCCACCCAGCCCTGACCCCCCCAGCCCTGACCCCCACCCAGCACTGACCCACCCAGCCCTGACCCCCACCCAGCACTGACACCCACCGAGTACTGACCCACCCAGCACTGACCCCCACCCAGCACTGATTCCCACCCAGCACTGACCCCCACCCAGCCCTGACCCCCCCAGCCCTGACCCACCCAGCCCTGACCCACCCAGCACTGACCCCCACCCAGCACTGACCCACCCAGCACTGACCCACCCAGCACTGACCCCCACCCAGCCCTGACCCACCCAGCACTGACCCACCCAGCACTGACCCCCACTC